GTTTATAAACTATGACATTTATAAATGTATGAATCATATGGTGAAAAACTGACTTTGAAAAATAAATCTGTTCTTTTTTTTCTTATAAAAGGCTAAATAAAACAAAAATATTGGTGGTAATTTTTGACTGTGTAACTTTACAAACGGCAGCCCATAGGTTTCTGCAGGTTTTTACAACATTGTCTTTAGAAGAACAACAACAAAAAAAAAAAAACAAGCTGCAGTCAAGTTTGACTGCTTCACTTCATGGAGGTGCGACACTTTAGCGTCTTCTCTCCACCCAAACTCTAATAACAACAATCCATCACAATGCAGCATCACAGACAGTAATTATCAAAGACAAAGAGCGTTTAGGAAAATATTCCCTCATGTCAGAGGTGAGAAATGCACATTTCATGAGGAAATAAAAGCTGATTGCAGACAACATCTGATTACAGCGTACAGCACGACGCGTGTGGAGGATGTAATTAGTGGATGAGTTAATCACATCGTAGTCCATTACAGAGAGGGGGATTGTCTTTCGTATTTGTTCAGGCCAACGTAGAGCTATATAAATAACAAACAGAGTGTCTTTAATCATGGCTGCATGAAAAAAAGAAATAATTACATAACTAAAAGGCCACAAAGGTCTCATAAATAACTGAAGAAACCAGGCTCATTTTCAGATGCTGAGGAACAAAAGCAGCTTTATCTCTCTATTGTTCCTCTGGGCTGGGCTGTTTGTATAACTCACTCAGCTGGCAGCAACAAGCCTGCTTTTATTCTCAGAAGCCGACTTGGGACATCATCAGTGAGTAATCGTCTCACAGCGCAGAAATATGAGCCTCCAAAGGTCACCGAGAGTCTTTAAATCTATATATAGTCCTGTTTACTCTGAGCCAAACGGTCATTAAAACACAGAGCATGACAGCAGATACTTTTGTCTCCATGTGGACCAAGACGTGTCTCTGAAGAGCTGGACTCAAAGTTTGGTCCTGAAGGCGGTTTTTAATTTAAGCAGCAACTCAAATGATTGGATTCTTGCTGACCCAGGCTGAAACCGGCCGGTCGGAGCGTGCTCAGAGGTGGTGGGGTCAGGGTGATTTAAAACAGCRGTAATATCTGTGGAAGTTGCGTTTTACTAACGAGATGAGAAACATATTCACAATATGGGCCCTGGAGGGGCGTCAGCTCTGCAGCGTGTGGATGACACACTCAGGAGGGAGTGAACCAGTCCGACAGAGGCAATAATCAGGCCACGCAGCCGGCGTCTTGTGCTCCGGGCTCAGAGTTTGATGCACATTAAAGACCTCATAATACCTGTCATCAGCATCCACCTCAGCCCAGCCTGCTTCAACTWCCTCCCTGGCTGCTGGTTTCACTTCCCGCCTCCTCCACGTATTTAATCCCACAGATCAATGACTGTTACCTTCATTGATCTTGYGAGTCTATTTCATGGGCGACTCCAGAGAGCCTCAAATTTCTTCTCTGCTGTAATTCTGCTACATAATGCAAGCGGCCATGGGCCGAGTTTAATTAACATTAAAACAGGCAGTTTTGGAATTATTCAGCAGTGGCAACTTGTGAGGACGTTTTSACCACCTGCAATTCATCAGAGTGATTTTATGTTTTGCCCAGAACTTTGGCTGAAGGCAGAAGACTCTTCTCTTTTAACCTCACCTCCTCCTCCACTTCACAGAGAATGTTTTTCCCTGAAACCTGGCTAACTTGTTCAGCTTAATATTTATTCTCTCATAATGAAATACTTGCAGATTCCTGATGCAACCATTGATTATTAAAGCAATGCCGGCGCATTGGCTTAGTTGCAGTCATAGTTTTTGATTTGCTGCTCATCCCACAGCTTCAGAAACAAATAAATATCTAAGTCCATCAAAGCTGTCAATCAACTACTATTCTAGGAAAACAAGATGTGGTTTATTCTGAACACATCTGCTTCTTGTAGGTTTTTCTCTTACATAACTTCTGCTTTTTGTTATCATTTATGAAATAAAACAGTTTTATTTTAATGACTTTGGGAGGATTTTATCACAGAATGATGTGATCGGGTAGAACAGAGGAGCAGAAACACAAGAAACTGWAGAAATAAAGACAAAAATCAGAGAAGCTAAAACACAAACGATCCTGACAGTTTAGGAGAAAAATGTCAGCTTCTTATGATTTTAAATTAAAAATGTCTCATTGCTCCCTAGATGTTAGGCTAAAAATCATGAATATCTTGGTTTTATTAACATCTGCACACGTGTGTAAAACAGGTGACTTTACACGGTGATGAAAACAAAAACAAACTTTTATWTTGAAGTCCATTAAAAACATGATAAAAAATCTGACTCGTGCAGGGTCAAAGTTTCTGAGTTGTGAAAGCTGCGCTGCTGAGGACTGATACGTCCACCACTGGTCACCAATCACCCCCCCCCACCTCCCTCCTGCACCTGGACCCCCGCCCCGCCCCTGCAGARCAACCACTTTGGCTCTCAGATTAGTGTCGCTGACCTTAATGGCAGACATTTGAAGGAGAAATCYCAGAGCTCTGCGTGAAGACGATGTGCAGAGAATCACAGAGACACCGTGATGATGAGCAGTGTGGGAATAAAAGACTGAGACACACTTCTACTAACGTTTGTCCTAAAAGACATCAGAAACCACCACATCTGCTTGGTGGGATAGTCTGCAGTTTGATTTTGTTGCCTGTAACACTTACAGACATAAGATGCTTTTAAATCCTTCAGTTGGGTCTTTATAAAGTGGAACTACAATGTTTTGGTCTGAYTGTCTTCTTATTCTATTTTTACCAGCTCCTCTTCCAGCCCTTTTCTGCTGTCTACTGTGCCTTTAAGATGCTTCAAGCAGATCTGAAGCTCAGCCTCACCTTCTGGTCGTGGCTGTAGGCCAGGGCCCAGTCCTCCTCGGTGGGGTGAAACAACAGGCTGAGGACGAAGAAAGACAGGCGGTACTTCTGGAAACTGGCTCCTTCGTCTGTGCTGATGAGCACGCTGCTCTCAAACTCTGGATCTGTCAGCACCATGATCTGAGAGGGAGGGGAGGAGGAGAGGAGAGAGGAGAGGAGAGGAGAGGAGGGGAGATGTTAGAGTTAGGAGCAGAGCAGGTTCATATTTTGCAAACAGCTTCTGCTGGAGCTCTGAGGTCCACACTCAGCGTTTCTGTTCAAACTGAGACTGAAACAAAGACGAGAAGAAGAAGAAGAAGAAGAAGAAGAAGAAGAAGAAGAAGAAGAAGAAGAAGAAGAAGAAGAAGAAGAAG